TGGCTGCAATATAACAAAGAGTGAAAAATTTAAGGGGGTCTGAATACTTTCCGTACCCACTGTAAATTATTGTTAAAACAGTGTTTCCCAGTCACTGTTGTCGGGTGTGCCATGGAAAATTATCAAAAACTTCCTTATCTCTATTATATTTCGTTATTATTTTAAATCAGTGCTATTGGTCATTATGTCGGTTTGTGGGTTTTACAAATATTTAACCAATGAAAAACATTCAAAAGAGCTTGTGACTAAACCTCGTAATGCCATTGGATCCTCAAATTGTCAGTGAAACCTCATAACTCTACCCTGCCTCCATTCAGAATTACCTGTTTTTATACAATCTATGGCCGCAACACGCAGTTTGAAGACAGATGTCTACTTCTTCGCAATGCAAGGGTAAATAAAGAACTGATGTTTGAATAAGTACAGCGTTTCCTTCACTCAAGAAATGCTGTCTATAAAGGCTAATATTTTTGTGTATAAAGAGCAGAGAAGAGTCTCAGCATTTGCTGTCTAGTTGTAGCCAATACACTTTTGTACATTTTAAATATCATAGCTGTTCGTATTTTATATCGTGAGATTTTGGCCAAATGTATTAACATGAGAAACGGAGCGCCCATATAGCTACAATAAACTTTATAACCTGCAAACTGGTGAAAACGTGATGCTATTAATTTACTGCCTCAGAGGCGGCCGTTCTCTGTCACGCGCTCATCAAAAACCTAATTAACTTCATTTGAGTATGATTTTCAGAAAGTAAGTGCAAGTGTCTGATCATATATAAAGCCAAAATACCAGCTCTGATGACGCAATGTTTAATTTTTGGAAAAATAAAAAATAAGTTTCCCCTTTCTATCTTTTTTTTTTTTCTTTTTTCTTTAATGCTTAGTGGTGTGCCGTGGGATTTTTTTACATATCAAAACTGTGCCGTGGAAGAAAACAAGGTTGGGAAACACTGTTAAAACACTTTTAAAAAGTTTGCCAGGTGGCTAAATGATGCCTGTGTTAATTTTTTGATAAGTACTGTAAATGTTTTACTTTACATTTAAGTACAGTACAGTTTTTTTTTTTACTTTTTAAGTACAGTGCAGTTTTTATTTAACTTTTAGGTACAGTACATTTTAATTTAATCATTTAAGTTTTGTATTTACCTGTATGTAAGCACAGTGCAGTGTTAATGTTCAAACTGTATTTACAATGTTTAAAGTGGCAGACAATAATAAATATTCTTATTAGGAATAAAACTGCCTCATTTTTTAACTGTGCATAGCTGTAGCTGAATAATTAGGCCTACTATATTTTAATGTTGTTCATTATGGTGGTACTTGGAGAGCCAAATATTTTCTGAGGTGGTACTTGGTGTAAAAAGTTTGAGAACCACTGCTCTAGTCTATGGAGCTGTCACGTGATGAACGAACTACTCGAACCCAAACCCGAAGACTCGAGAGATGAACTAATCATTTATGTTTCCTGTACAGAACCTATTGGATGTTGCGCATGCGCGGTCAACACGAAATGAACGAATCCCTCGCTGAGACAACTCGTCGTTCCCGAGTCATATTAAAGATTCGTTCAAAATGAACAAATCGTTCAAGAATGACCCATCACTATCGCGTGTGGATAGCTGATTTATAGAAGAAAATTAAGTGTTGCTTTTGATGAAATTAGACACTGACACTGTTTTTCATGTTTAATACTGCTGATTGCTTTTAAACAATATATTGAATAAAGTACCATGTAAATACACGTGACGTGACTTCATGGGAGTGCTAATTTGCAGAGCTCGTGCAAACATACCCATGTTGCTATGAACAGATGCTTTTTATAAACAAAAATGCTTGCTGTTTCTCAATTTTTTATGTTTATTTTGTTACTGAGAGGAAAGCTCGCAGCACATATTTGCATATTCATATAAACGTTGCTTTCATCAGAGTGGGTGGCGTCGGGATGTTTAATAACGGTACCTCTGCTCACGTATTCCCAGTGGTGTATAAAGTACCTGAAAGCCATACTCAAGTAAAAGTACAGATATCTTACCAGAAAATGACTTTGGTAGAAGTTGAAGTCACCATTTAGAATATTACTTGAGTAAAAGTCTTAAAGTATGTGTTATTTATTGTACTTAAATACGAACAGAATTTTTAAAATCTTAAAACTCCAGCCAGGAGTGGTGAACAAGAATGTTCTGGAAAGTGATTTTGAGCCTCTCTGTGATGGTACCACGAGGTGTCGCTCACTAGCGGATCTCAGACTTCTGAAGGGGATGTAGATTCGTAGTAGTGAGTGGAAGTAGGTGGGTGCTGAGTCTGTGGCTGTTCTATGATATATTTATTTTTTGGTCCGGGATTGCATTTAAAATGAATTGGTCGCAAGCTGAAGTCCAAATGAGACGTCTTAGAAAAGGCATTAATGCAGGGGAATGGGACCGGCCTTTATTGATGCAATGCACGGCCGCTTCGTTATCGCAATGCGCTACGATGCTGGTGGTGGACCAATCTTTCCCCCACAGGGCCGCTGTGGCGACTAGAGGCTATAACTCTATATAACTTTAGATGCGTGGCTGGGATGGAGCCAGCAGCTTCGCGCTTGCTTCGGCTGCTGTAGCTGTAGGCCGCGGGAAACTGGAAGGGTTAGTGACATTTAGCGGGACAAGCTGAAATGCCTGGGTAGGTTGCAGTGTTGCCGACTTAGCAATTTGTTACTAGATTTGGCAACTCCTCAAGCCTTGTCCACATTAATACGTTTCCGTTGAAAATGCATCTTTTCCTCTCGTTTTGGCCTTCCATCCACACTAAGACAAGGAGTCCAGGAAAACAGAGCTTTTGAAATGCTCTCCAGAGCGGATACATTTGAAAATCGGATAAATTTGAAAATGCTGTTTTCACGTTGTAGTATGGACTGTGGAAATGGAGGCTTTTGAAAACGATGACGAATGATTAGTCATGTGACCCATATTTTACCAATAGACGTACCGGTAACGTTAATTGTGCAGTTATGTGCTATTCACTTCCACACTGTTGATAAAGATATTTACTTTGCACACTCTTCAAAAATGGCTTGGTCGTCTGGGACGAAAAGGCAGCTTTTTCCACCTTTTGACCACAAGATGTTGTTAGTGTGCACCATCTCGAAAAGCTTCAAGTAATGAACCTTTTTACGATACAGTTGAGGGGAAAAGCCTCAGTGCTTCGCAAAGCTTCATTTTTCCATCACTAAAAATTATCGTACAAATACGATAATTATCGTACATCTGGCAACACTGCATTGTACCAATAGACATGTTTATTATTACTAAATTAGTAAGGCTAATTTTGCAGTTATGTGCTATTCACTTTCACACTGTTGCTAAAGATATTTACTTTGCACACTCTTCATATTACAGTCCTAAAAAGATGACAGAAAATTTACTCATGATTGATGTCCTGCAGCAAAACACGAGGGCAGTTGCGTTTTAGATCCATTCTGAGTGAGCGCGCCATGGGCGCGTCAGTGAATGATGAATATTTCCGTAAATGAATTGATCCTGCCAGAAGAACTGCGTGAAACGTATTATGTCTGTGTCGTCTGTATCATCTCAGTGAGGTTTTATACATGCACAGTAAGGCGAATGTAACACTTTCAGAGATTTTGGAGTGGATGATAAACTTTGGAAAAATGCCTTGTTTGCTTCATGGTTACAAAATGGCATCAACATCCGTTTATGTCATAACGTCATTTAACAAACTTTAGCCACAAAACCTGCTTTTAGCGACTTCACCTGAAAATTAATTAATTTGCGACACGGCCTGCGCCGCTAGCGGAGGCAGCTTCAAGCAAGCGTCTGCTACGAGAGCTGGAGGCCCAGCTGCAAACGGCGCTGTGGCCGGAAGAGCCACGGTGAAAGGCTGAGCCGAAGCGGTAAGCGATCGAGGCTTTGCTGCGATGAGAACTGGGATGCGGCCCAGGCTTGTTGAAGGCCTGCTGCTGCTGCGACCCAGCGCTCGAGGAGAGCCGGGTCTTGTGCGGGACGATGGTGGTGTCGAGTGAGGCGAGCTCGGGGCTTTGCACGGTCTATTGACCTCCTTGGCGGAGTGGATTTAGGAGTGAGGTTAGCTAATTTGCAGGGTGACGAATAGATCGTACAGATCCGGCGAGAATAGTGCATTGGAATTAATCAGCGTTTGCCTTGGACTTAAATACTGTCCAGTTTCTGATCGGAGGAGTTGCTGTTACGGCCGAATGATACGAGGATGCCGGGGAAGTTGGAAGCTTTGGCGTCGTGGAGAGCATGTGGCTGGCCGAGAAAAGCAGCGGCTGCGATGAAGCCTGGTGCTCGGCGGCCATGTCTGGCGGAAAAGGAGTGATCATGGGGCCGGCAAATTGCGGTAGAGGATCTGAAAAATCCCCAGTATCGGTCTCGTCGTTGGGTGGGAAAAAATTGGGTCTGTGATAAAAAGGCAAAGGAGCGAACCGAATGCTGGAATACTGTAGTGAGAATGAAGGTAATATGGTTTGGCTATTTATAGAAGTTCTCTCTCGAGCTGGTAGGATAGATGGCGTAATTGCTGATGATGAATTGGCCGGGTTAATTATCTGAACGTGCTCCTCCCCAACTTTGTTAATAAAACATCATTAAGAGAATAGGGACAACCCGTTTAGACCATGCGCCCGCCGACCGTTTTCCCGTCGATAAAAAGTGCAAAAGTTAGCAAAAGTGGATTCGTGATTCTGAGTGCACCTGCGCTGTGCGCTTTAGACCATGCGCATAGATCGTTAAAATAGAGCCCTGTGTGTAATTTGGTGATATAGCCTGCTTGATAATGTCAGATCGCACATCATTACAACAACACTTACCATATTATCACAGAAGATATACTGTATATTGCACACCCCAGCCTCGACTTGAGTGGAAAATTAATCATCCGCGGTTGTGCGCGCACTTGTTTGCACATGAGCAAAGGTGAAATTTAGGAGTCTAACTTGCAAACACCAGACCACTGATTCGTCAAACCTGCTTTCCTGCAGTCCGTGTTCTTCTGACTTCTGACTATTTTGTAGTAAGCAACGAATATGCTTCGGGGAAATGTATCGGATTTTAATGAGGAAATGTAGTGGAGTAAAAGTTGACTGAAATATAAAAACTCAAGTAACGTACAGATACTCCAAAAAAATACTTAAGTACTGTAACAAAGTATTATTACTTCGTTACAATACACCACTGCATATTTCAAACTTCGTTTTACCCCTAAACAAAGAACTAAAAATGACTTTGTTTTGAGTATATCGGGCCCCTAACTGAGATAACCAGAGAGACAAACGAGGCAGCACAGCAAACTGTGGCAAAGCACACAGAGAGAACCTGTAACATATACATAATTCATGTCCTGTCTCCATATAGATCATCTATCAACGCCTCACAGACTATGTGCCCATGCTGATAATCCTCTTCATGCTGAAGGATGCAGCAAAGACATTGCGGCATCAAATGCTGGAACTGAGGAATGGAGCGGATGTGGTGAAACTGCTGAGTGAAGACTCAGAGCACGGACGCATGAGAGCGGATTTAAAGCAGCGTCTGGAGCGCCTCACACAAGCTCAAGACCTGATAAGCAACAGACTCTGAGAGAGCTTTATAAAACATCAGGGATATAAATGTAGCATCAGAAAATAATCAGCTACAGATTGTCAGACCACTTTCTAATACAGCATGGATTTAGCAACAGGGATAAATAAATGTTTTAATTTCACAAAATTAGTAAATAAACAAATTTACAAATGCAGATTATTATTAACAATAAAAATGTTGAGGATCTATATTTTTTCTTCAAAAAGTCACTGATTATGATGAAACCCACATAAGGAGTTCTATAACAGAATAAGACTGGAAGTTACCTTACCATGTATGGTGAAAATTTGGAAATGATTTAACATCACATTGTATGCAACTTTACTTTAAAATACAGTCAAATTATTATTACTACTTTTATTTGTTTGTTTGAAATTAAACTATAAATTTCTCAACCCAGGCTTATCGGAAAACATGCTGGTGGTTACATGTTTTGCGATGCCCAGTAAGTGGCACTACAAGCACATAAAGAATTTGGTCTGCTATAATACATTTACATGTTTTAAAGTTCAAAACCACTTAGTGTCAGTCAAAAATACCATATTCCTTTACCATAATCAGGTTTCAGGAGTTGAGATCCATGTGCGGCTTTATTAAAAGTGTGAGCAGTGGTATAGGCAGGGGGCAATCAACAACAATAGTAGTAGCCAAGGTAAAATGTAGACGTGGTAACAAAACAGACACAGGGTCAGGGAAGGCAGAAGGTGAAATGTGCTTTTAAGTCTTGGAAGGATTGGAGAGCTGCTGGGGACCAGGAGATCAGGAGCCCCTTCCCTTAAGCATTGATGTTGGGGGTGCAACGACAGAACTGAAACCTTTGATAAAACAATTTATCAGCCTTTTACAATTATCAGCAATTTACAATTTTATTCAAAAAAAAAACATCAGCAAATGCTATAAAACATTTAGACAAAATCGCATTCAAAATCACAGGCGATTCATTGCCGATTTTGAATGCGATTTTGTGTAGCTTGTCAGTGAACTACGGCCCTGTGTAGTAAATGCCGCTCCATCTGAAAGCACGTGCTGGACATTTACTACTAATCACCAGAAGCGGCATTACTGACGAGATGCGCATGAAAATCGCATTCGATTTTTTGCACAGCCCTAGCTCTTTTATCATGGTAGGTTGTGGCCATTTCAAAAGTGCTTGTACCTTGCTGTCATCTATAACCACCCCCTCACATAGCCTAGAAATGATACTGACAGCCGAAGGACTTACATTTCTCAGCCTTGGTGTACAGCTGATGGTTGATGAGTCCATGCAGAAAATTTCGGACATGCTTAACATGATCCCCGAAAATATTGGAAAAGATAGGATATTGTCAATATACACAATCACCCATTGATTCAGCATGTCTGGAAAGACGTCATTAATGAAGGCCTGGAACACAGAAAGACTATTGACCAGTCCAAAAGGTATCACAATATTCTGTCTTCACAAAAACAGTGGGAAGCTCCCCGAACAGTCGGCAGCTTTAATGGCAATCTGAGAGATACAGACTTTAAACAACCTGTGATGCAAGTGTTAGTCCACATGGTAAACAGTTCAGGGTCAAGGACAGGCAATAATAACAAAAGAATGTTCAGAAATGTCAGCCGGGACGAAACAAGACTTCACAAGAGGTAAGTGGGTGTGAATGAGCGTTTAAATGATCCAATAAATGGGGAACAGGTGGAGAAACAATCAGTTCCAGGTAGAGGGCTTATGGGAAATGATGTCCAAGAAGAGTGTCAATGCTCAGGTGACAAAGCCCTCCGGTGGTAAGCGAGAGGAACCACAGAGGCAAGATTTATGATAATTTCATGTGATTTTAAATGTAGGCCTAAATATTTATCTGAGTGACAGTTTTGGATATCAGACAAAATACAGTGTTAACTGGTACTGGATACTAGACAAAATGTATATATTTTGATGGGAGCTGTTAAAGAGACTGGACCCAATATTCCCATCATGTTGGAATGATTTAACACTACCGTTGTTCATACCGTTGAGTGGATTGCAGAGCGTGCAGTCAAGAAACAACAACAAACGTAATTCTGTTTTTCTGATGCAAGGATTTTATTTTGAAAAACGTACTTGAAAGTAGTGATGGGAAACCGAGGCTTTCTGAACCGTTTGAGGCTTTCATCAAATTGTGCCAAAAAAAGGTTAATTACTTGAAGCTTTTAACACAGTGTGCATTAGCGATCTGGTGCTTATACTTGTTTTCTCCACCATATCTAACAAATCAAAGCGGAGCAGAGGGTATATGGTTTGCAAAATCACGTGACCATACAAAGCTTTGGAAGTCCGTGACACACAAGAGTGGAATCAATCTGTGATCTGTACAGTTCCAACTAATCTGATATAATCTCTTCTAAATTAATTTGTGCCAATGAGACCAGAACTCGTGTCATGTGTACAAATCAGTTATTCATTAGATTAATCATAACTGGAGTCCCTTAATCATGCAGATTTATGCTACAGGCTCTGTGTAGAATTGTACAGTAAGAAAGTTATTTCCCTTAACCAGGAAATTAACGTTCTTAGAATTGACAGACAGTTGACCCTGAGAGGTCAAGTAAATACTTACAGCGGATCTAAATATTTATAATTAATTATAACTAGTTATGATTAATTATTCATATTTCCCCAATGAGCTGATTCGCTACACTTGCATCAGGTGGGGTTGCGAAGCATCAATTTTTTTTCAAACCAGCTGTCCCGATCTTCCAATACTGCATGACGTTCGAAGCTTCAAACATCATCAATCACGTGATGTTGTCATTTCGATACAACCATCGGCACAGTGTGTGATACAATAGTGCTTCGAAAACTGCATCGGAGCATTGGAGCCACTGTATCATCTGTCCCATCACTACTTGAAAGCTGTTGAAACTTCTGTCAGACGCAGTTCAAGTAAAGAGTGTGGCAGTGCATGCTGCATATCACTTCGTTACAAATAAAGTGCAAATTGAATTGCGAGCATGCAACATCGTAGTTATGTTGTCAATTAGTAAATCATGAAACTACCAAAAAGTACCAATAAATTATGTAACTGGTACTTCTTTTGTTAGCTGGGAAGGATTTGCATGGAGGACTGATTCTACTCATCATGACCAGTGTCTATTTCTGTCATTAACAGTTCAGGTTAATATTGTGTATTTACTATTATAACTAGTTTCTGTAACCTCAAAATGCCACCTCATTTTCGCTTATTTTCTTTATTATTTTCACAGTGATATATATATATATATATATATATATATATATATATATATATATATATACACTGAACAA